GGAGATCCAGGAGGTCTCAGAATAGACTGAGAAAGAGGAGGAAAGAGCGTATTATACGGAGTCTGCGAACCAACTTCATGATGAAGAGGAGAAAAAAGGTAATGAAATTAGTTGTGCCGATGTGCCGAGAAAAAAGGAAGAAGATGAAGATGATGGTGACGATGGACAGCAGGAGGAGAAGGAAGATGATCGTCTGCCAGGCAATGTGCATTTTGAGGGAAACATCGAAGTTCAAGAAAGGATGCAAGCTCCACGTATAATGGAAACGAAACTTGATGATTAGACGCTGGTATAAATTATGTCGGTTTGGGAGATGAAATTACAGTCTTTTTCATCGAAGCAAAGCAGAAGGGCTGTTAATTGGAAGACCGTTTTGGAGTCATCTGGTAAGTCACCGGTGCACGTGCCACTAGATGGATTATTCCCATGCCCATCATATTAGTAATTTTACGTCTATGAGGAAGGTATTAGCTGATTTCACTTGCGTACATCATTTTAGAAACACCAATTATTTTGGATCAGAGGGCATCCAAGGGCTTCCGACGCCAACTACGGAAGTGGTGGAAGCGTTTTGTCTTTCGTGGAACTTCACGATGAGTGGAACATTAGATAATAACTTAACTTTGTTTGCACAACCTTCGTCCTATGATTGTCTCTCCATCACTGTACATATACTTGATTCTTGCTTTCTCAATAAAGTATATTTTTTGCACACAGACTCTGTTATCGTAGGACAACTGTGTGGTAAGGAGATTTGGCTTGCGTGTCGTAGGGCCTGAATCAGAAGGAAGAGAGGTTGCTTAACCCGATCAAATGAAAATCACTTCAAATACTTTAACGTTAACCTTACTTACATGATTCCCAGCACTACTACCTGTGTTTGGACCATAGTAACTGGTTCTTAAGGTGGTCACATTCTGCTTGGTTTGCAATGAATAGCGCGTAGACCTCACAGAATTATAAGCATGGTGTGTTGCGGCTAGAAGATGACGAGTTTTGGGATGGATACAAGTACGTATCATGCAAGCCCGAATAATTTTGCACGTAAGTGCCCACAAAACGCGAGTGATCTCCATCGATGCTTTCTACTATACAGAAGTATTAAACCACCCTAACTTGGGCGTTAGACATTATTTGCATGCCACACAGGCTTTGATTGAAATGTCTGGCAAAATGGAATTCCAATTCACACCATCTGCTTTGACATCGGGCGTCCACAGAGTGCCTTGTTTTTTGTGTGCCTGTGGATGAAATCGAAGGGGAAGTGAGAAGAGGCGAGATATTATGAAGAAGCAAATGGCGGAGGTTGAAAAGGACGGCAGTGAGCCCATATGTATGCATAAACGCACGCATGTATCACTGCGGATAAGGTGTAATTATGTAATTAGGAGATTTCTCCCTAGTTTATATCGAAGGTGCACCTATTGTGAACGCATTTTAAAATTAAGTAAAATGCTCCTATTTAATATGCTATAGAGGTTTTACGGTTCAACGTCTTTGGGAGCAACGTTGGAAACCCAGCTTCAGAGAGTGGATTGGTCTGTACGCAACACATATGAGCATGCTCTTAATCCTCGCCTACATATTGTGGAGAAACAGGCCTCTATGAACAGCATACAAAAATTCCCATTTCGTTTACGATTGAAAAGTCGCTTTGGCAAACGGCTGTTTTCGGTCATTCACTTCAGGTCGTTACAGTGACATGGAAAATAGGCG